AGATACAAGCCACCTTCTACTACAAGTAATTCTACTAATAGTCGTGGCATGGTGCTGTTAGTCAGAACAGTAATAGTATTTTGCACGGCGAAAACAGTAACTCTAGTTGTAAATGATAACCATAATAATCATCAGAGTCATACAATCATTTCCTGAGCAGTCGTAAAGAGCTTCTTCCGGGCCTTGCCATTTCAGTTTTAAGTAGGGGCGGAAGGGAATGGTGTGTCACTTTGGATTGGATGTATTATGATGACTACTGTTGTTCACAGTATAATTCACCAGTATTGTTCGTACTACAATCATTACTAGCATCAATAGCTTAAAATAAGGTCTTGCGATTCTCATAATTATTGTGATTATTATCATTATTACTATTGCTATTGTCACAACTGCCATTATTTATCATTATCGCTACTGTGACCATTATGATCTGATTGACTATGCTTATTAATTATTAGCAATGAGAACTGGAGCTATCGCTACATGTGCATCATGACCATCGAAAGTGCCGTGGAATGGGGGAGGGGTTGGGTCGTGAAGGGGTGAGTGGGTGTTTTTTCTTTTTTTTTTGCATTTTCTGGTCGACATCGCTGAGCTCTGCGCGAGTGTGTGTGTGGCACATGTGGACATGCAACAGCAGGGCCAATCTCAGCATGAGTCAGGTGTAAAAGTGTTGTGTCGTGGCCTTGGCTTCGTTTAATTTTGGGCAGAGCGGGAGTAGAGGCTGTCGCACGGCAGCATGCAGTGTGACAGCTATCAGTCTTTACCACAACAAGTCCGTCAAATCTTGCCCTTGAGAAACTACGTGTCCTCAGGTCATGCCGTCCATTGTAGCGTTCCTCTTCCTTCCCACTGCCTTGGGAGCGGGTGCTGGTGACTATGGGAACTACATGGCAAAGTATGGTGACTTCCACAAGCCCCTTGCTTGCAATTTCTGGCTTTCGGAAACTCGCTGGGTTTGCAGAAGGCTGCAGATGGGCAGCATGCATGTTTTCAACAGCTTTTCGGGACTTGTGCTGCTCCTGTTCGATTCCGCTGCTCGTGCTCAATTCCGATGCATGGCCATGCTTGAATTGTTGCTTAAACCTTGCTTGTTCTTGTTGATCTTGCGGCGCGCGGCCGGCATGCGATCGTGGCGTGCTGTAGCACCGAGGTACATCAGTGACTACGCAGGCAACTATGCAGGCAACTATGCCAGCGACTACATGCCCTCTCAGGGCCAAGCCTCGGGGAAGTCTTCGCCAGTGAGCTTCGCCGCTTCCACGCCGAAGAACAGTGACAGCTCCGCCTCGGATCACCAGGGAGCTACCGGGAACTACCAGAAGCTTGGGCAAGCATTGTTTGTGTTGGCCTTGCTGTTTCTGAAGTCGTCCTTAGAAGAATAAAGAGATACATGTAGATCAACATCCAAAGCAGTCGACACCAAGAGTCAAATTTTGGGACCGACAGGGTCAGTAGGGATGCCGAATGCCGAGAACCGTTTGGATGGTCAGCATGTGGAGATTGACAAGCAGCATTCGACATGACAGTCGCAACCGATAATTTCAATTTGTTAAGGTCCAGTAAGAAATGCTTGCTCAAGCCTCAGGAAGTATTCCTCGCAGTTTCAGAAGAACCAGGCCTTCGCGTTTTGGTTTGGCAATTGGGGTATCTACTCAGTTGTGCTTTGGTTTGGGTTTTTTGGACTGCCGGATGTCCGTAAGAATCACCAGGGGGACTACGAGACGTACATGGCCCAGTACATGGCGGACTTCCAGCAGTACATGAACACGCATGCTCGTGGAGCACAGGGTGGAAGTCGCTTTGCAGGAAATTGGTCACTACTTCACTTTCTTGATGCGGGCCTGTGCGATTTCTGTTTCATCTATGTAGTGGGGTGTTGTTCCCAGCCGTGGCAGAGGTGATTACCAAAAGTATATGTCCGACTACCAGCAGTACATGGGTGGCCAGGGAGGCTGCCAAGAGGGTTCTCGGAAGTAAGGCCATGGGATTTCATATCCGGGTCATCAGTGTTTCCAGCACGGATCTTGCATGATGTCTTGGGTCTTGGCCGAAGTTTGTTGCTGGGAGAAAGATCCGAGACGACGAAAGCCTTCACAGCAATAGGACTCTCAAGACACCTCTCTGGCTTTTGGTTTTCGATACCTGATGGGAGGCTACCAGAAGTACATGGCCGACTTCCAACAGTACATGAAAGGCCAAGGCCCTTAGCTCCTGTCACAGCCTGTGTAGGGTACCGGAGTACTTTTTTCTTTTTCGCACGTTTGGGAAAAGGGCGGGACCTTGCAAATCCTAACCTCCGAGAAATGCGAGATTAAAGCTTAGCACGCGTGTTTCGCGGTTCCACAGACCAGGGTTTAGGGCTTACTGCCTTGGCAAGTCCTTTAGACAGATGCATTTCCCATGCAGGCAAGGGGGACTATCAGAAGTTCATGGCACAGTATGCCCAGGACTTTCAAAACTACCTGCAAGGCCAGGGAAAGAGCGCCAATGGAAATGGGGACTACCAGAAGTACATGTCAGACTTCCAGCAGTACATGAAGGGACAGGGAGGCAGCCATGGAGACTATCAGAAATACATGTCCATGTACGCCGCTGATTTCGACAAGTATCAGAAGCAATACACCAATGGTCAGGGAGGCAGCCTGCCGGGGGTCAGTTACCGTCAGTGCAGGATCTTACATAGATTTTGTTCTGTCTGGAGGCCACACAGGCAGACAGGCACACAAGAAGACAGGCAGGCAGGCAGGCAGGCAGACCCACACACCCACACACCCACACACCCACACCCACACACCCACACACCCACACGCCCCCCCCCACCCACCCCGCCACCCACCCCCCCAGCCACACCCCCACCCACACCCACACCCAC